AGTGCAGGCCCTGCGAGGTACGCACGCTAGCAGGAAGCCCTCGCCACACACAAGATGCTTATCTTCCGCATGCTCCCGCTATACGCGCTACTGTACGGCATGCAAAAGCTGCTGTCGCAATCAGACCGGACCTTTGCTTAGACGGTCTCGACAAGATTCTACATCGTAAGGCACGCGTGGCTGATATTAACGGGAAATTGATATCTGATATTGTCAAATCAGATGGAGCGTGTCGCTACGAGTGCGTGTCTTCGCTATGTAGACGCTATGTAAGCCACGCGGGCGATCGCGCATGCTAAGACTTAAATGATACAATGTTTTTTGACAAGCTCTCTCTCTATACTCGATTCGCGGCCGGATATGTCAGTCAATATGCAGATCACAAAAACGCCGATATATTACTTCCCGAGAAAAAGCGTACCGCATATCCTGCGAATTGGTTTCATCGGTTCTCTTCAGGCGCTTAAATGCCAGTGCGGAGCGCGAACAAGCAAAAAATTGAGACACCTGCTTTACGGCATTATCGCGCTGTTGAAGTGCCGTTAATCGTGTCATAATATAGACGAGAGAAGCCGCCGAGATTGAAATCGTTCGCGCGTTTCTCAGATTAAACAAAAAATCGAATCGGCCCTCAGGGAACTGGCATACTATTTTTCCACGTTCTTACTCGAGCACTTTCCACCACTACCCATCTCTCATCTCTTTCTTCTTTCCGTCTTTCTGTCCCACTTACATTTTTCCCCACAGTGTCAAATGTGCGCCACCAACCGTATTATTCTTAAAACCTTTAAGATTGTAAATCTCACCGAACCATGTTGGTTGAATCGGGATCCGTGTCACGTGCGTGTTATTATGGATAACTTTTCAATAAACAATTATCTCCAACACAGAGACGAAATATTTAAAGAACGACGTTATCATCTCACATGGGGATGCTAAATAGATATAGCGGCTGTCTATTCAACCATGATGTGACGATGATGGTATAATATTCTGCTGGGCGTGAGCACGTTCGTGTTTTGTAACCGCCCTATTAGACACAAACCTCTTAAAAACATTAGCAGTTTAGCACAGAGCAAAAGCCAATATAATATGATGAGTAAACGCTTATAACAGCACCGGATGCGCAGTTAATCTGCTCAAAATGGTTTTTGTTAATGCCATTACGTAATACACGAGGACAATATAATGAGATAAATCGACTGGAGCGCCTGAGTCAGACAAACTCAACTACACTCTCGTAAACACGTCCTCGCATGCGCGCAAGCTCACGCTCACTCACACGCGCACGCACAGACGCCCACGCGCAAAAAAAAGCATATGCACACGCACGCACACTCCGAGCCGACTGACTCTTCGCCAGCATAGATATAGGCCATTACCGCCTACTACTATTTATGCTTCATTATAGACGATGTTAGCTCGGTCGGTGTAATGAATCCGCGCACGATCTCCTGCGACATTCAACGACGCTCACATGACGCGACGCTTTGTGACCCACTTTTACGGCACGGCACGTGATAAAACTGCCGCTGTTCGCAAACAACACTTTTGCGTACCGCTACTCGACGATCGCCTGGTTCGCATTCATGAAGGACGTAAGCTTTCGGCCCTACTCGAGTGACAATAACGGCTTGCGCGCTACGCTCTAACCAGTCCGATGTCGTCATGACGACTATGGGAGAAAGCACACGTAGATCCACGTAATTACTGTGCAGAAATAATCCCCGATCCTGGTAATTATATGGCGTTGTAAATATCTTACATTATGCACTTAGGTCTGCACCCGCTACAGTTATGTGCACGAAACTCAGGAAAGCATGCCGTTGCAGATGCACGCGCATTCTTCGCATCTCATTAGAGTTTGATAACTTTCCAAAAATCTCGTGCAATCAAGCAACCCACGCACCCGCACACCCACACACCCACACCCACGCACCCACGCACCCACGCCCACACACCCGCACACCAGCACCCGCACGAAGACGCACGAACGCAGGCACGAATTCACACATACAAAGTCGCTGCTCATCACACCAGAAAGTGCGCAGCTATATTATAACCGGGAAATAAAGTACTCAGTTGGTGAACACTTGGCTGAAAGAAAAATACCCAAAAATCTATCTTCTATCTATCTATCTATCTATCTATCTATCTATCTATCTATCTATCTATCTATCTATCTATCTATCTATCTATCTATCTATCTATCGATCGATCGATCGATCACACTCTATAGTCTATAGTGCTATAGTCTTGCACACTCTGTATCAAGTCGGTGCAAGGTGAATGCTGTTACGACAATTACATGACATGACATGGCGCATGTAACATAATGCATGTATAGTAACTCAATGTTACGCGCATTGTTCAGTAGTGCGAATCAGTGCAAAGTGAATCCCGTCTGCATGGGCCGGTTTATTTACCGCTGCTACAGAGCTTTAACGTCGCTGCAGGGGCATGATTTTTTAAATCATTTTTTTCGTTTTGCGATGTCAGATGACCTCGGAGGTCAAATCCAATGTGCCCATGTTCCAATGTTTTCAAAGTTACATGTAATGGCCATCCTTGGACATATATAGAGTAGCCGATATTGATTTGAATCGAGAACAGACAAACAGAGAAACAAAATAGGCGCGCACCACACCTAACCGCGTCCAAAACATATCGTTTCTGTCTCGCTTTATCAACCCTAAGGAATAAAACCATGCAAGTGATGCATTCGCACATACTCGAACATACGTGCGCGCACTTATTCTCTCTGCGTTTCCTCTCATATAGGATGTGCCTACTATTGCGAATATAAACTAAAAGTTTGTTTAGTTAAAATATACTCGCGTATCAAATAGCCATACACCACGTATTTTCCTATTCAACATGCACGAAATAGGCTAACGCTCCATTAGGAGTGTTCCCAACTTTGATATCATTAATGATTAATGATTAATGATTACTGATTCATGATTAATGATTAATGATTAATGATTGATAATCCTAACCCTAACCCTAACCCTAACCCTAACCCTAACCTAAATGACATTAAACCACAAACTAATATAATGACCATATATATATATATATATGTTATTATGACCATTAATGACATTAAAGTTGGGAACACTCCTAATGGAATATCACCCACAAAATGTACCATTATCGCGGAAACTGAAGACGAGACAGATCCTCTCACGTTACGCATGACTGGCGAACTATGCCGGCTGACAATCAGGTGAGTTTACGCGTAGTAACGCACACCTGCGCGTAGGCTGGCCGTCTGTTTGGCTTCCTAGATAAAACGTTAACGTGTTTTTGTACGCACAATGCGTGTATAATAACACATATTGTTATCTCACTGTGACTTAATCTTGTAAAAAAAGATTATGCGCGCTCGTGTGTTTACCGCCATACATGCGGTCATCGTACTACACTCTTACTGAGGAGTTGTCACTGGCGAGGCTAGCGGAGCTGCGCCATCCTTATCTATATAGCATTTTCATAGAAGGAAATTGCTGACTTCGGTTAATTTGGTGTATCCCAATTAATCAGTGTTCGATGACAGTATATTAGATCTAGTAAATCTTAACGATAGTAAAAAAATGTCATTTAAAAAACTGCATCTGCAATAAGAAATTCCCTGCCGAGCCCCATAATAATGTACCTGGCAACTGTTCTGCGATTTGCTCAATTTTTGGCGTATTCCAAAGATTGATGTAAAGGCGTATATTTCACTCTATCTCTCTAAGCTGTGACTATGTA